CAACAAGAAAAAATAATTCATCATCATTATCATTAGAACCAACAACACACAGTTCAACATCATCATCACAAGCAACAACGAATGATTTAATATTATTATCACCAACAACAAGAAAAAATAATTTATCATCATTGTCAATAACATCAGTTAAAAACAATTCAGTATTTGTATCACCAATAACAAATTCTGTAGATCAAACAATGATAGACATATCTAAATGTGATTTAAATTGTTGTAGTTCTTCTAAAGCATATCATCCACTTAAAGAGGATGAATTAGTTTCGGCAACAATTAATAAACGATCCTGTCAGAAGAAATGGTTTACAGATTATCCTTGGTTAACATTTTGCAAAGTGAGTCTTGCCCATAATATGCATAATCTGAATTAAAACTTAAATCTAAAAGAAATAATTTTTCTTTCTTGCAGACGAAGAGGAGAGTTTTTTGTTGTGCATGTCGCGAAGCATTTGAACGTGAAATTCATCCTACTAAAACAAAACTATTTCCTCATCATGTTACTTTTATAGTTAATGGTTATTGTGATTGGAAAAATGCTATATCACGATTTAAGCTTCATGAAAAAACTAAACTTCACCTGGATTCAATTTATGTTGTTAATCAGCAAATGAAACCTAATATAGCAATTCAATTAACATCAGCAACTAAAAAACAACAAGAACAACGTCGACAGAGTCTTTCAATTCAAATTTCGTGCATCATATATCTACTTCGACAAGGTCTTGCTCTTAGAGGACATGACGACGAAAACAGTAATCTGATTCAATTATTAAAACTTCGAAGTGCTGATAATGAATATTTAAACGAATGGATTAAAAATAAGAAATACTTTTCACATGATATTGTTAATGAAATTTGCAAAGAAATCTATTTAACAATCATTCGAGATATTGTAAAAGAAGTACGTATGACTAAGATGGATGTGAAAAACTTAAAAGTTATAATATAGCATGAATATAAATATGTATTCGTCTGCTTCTTCAACTGGGTCACAGATTGCATTTTGAAGATTTAAATATAATATTAGTTTCTCTGAAGATTTTCCATGCAAATTTGCATAGTTGTCCTTTTATTACAACGAATTGATGCTATAACATAGCTTGCCCGCAGAACAATAGAGTGCATCATCAGGTCTGATGTAACAGCTTGACATTTAGCTTTATATATTCTACAGAAACAGAAAAAGTGACTCAAACGTTTCTAGTTTTCCACTCTGAATTTTTAAATACCATAAGTTTTTATTTTCAATTGATTATAATAATTGAAAATGATTCGACTTTTTTCACCTAGATTTCGAGCAGAAAATGGTTTTCTTTGATATGTGATGAAACATGTGATGAATCAACAACCGAACAATTATGCATCACCATTAGATCCGTTAATTCTAACTACAAAATTTTTGAAGATGTCATAGGTCTATATGAAATATCTGCACAAAATGCTCCAACAATTGTTGAAGCAATTTATGATGTTATAACTCGATGTGGCTTGGACATGATTAATTGTCGTGGTCAAAGTTACGATGGCGCATCAAACATGTCGGGAATATACGGTGGTGTGTCATCAATAATTTTGAAACAATATTCAAAAGCTATTTATATTCATTGTGTTGCACATTGTTTAGATTTAGCTGTACATGATTTAACAGATCAATGTGCTTCTATTTGTAACTGCATGCTTTGTGTAAAAGATATTATTGATTTTATACGTCGATCACCAAAACGTCTTGTTATTTTAAAAGAAATATTTAATCAAATATCGTCGTCTTATACAAATCTTACGGCATTATGTCCACATAGATGGACAATGCGTGCTGAATCATATGGTTCGTTATTAAAAACTTATGAACAAGGTAAAGGAATATTTGCTTATATTTTAAAAAAATGTGGTGTCACTTTCGTAATGCTTACCACATAATATATGGCGAAACAGAATCATCAAAACACTTGATTTCGAAGAAATCTTCGAAACTATTAGCGAGATGATCTTAAATCGATCAATATTTTCTGCCCCTCTTCTCGTTTTTTTTATGCATAAATCTCGCAAGGAAAATATTCGGTCAAGTACGAATAGTATCCTTAGTGATGCGATAATATCTTTATCGGAACGGGAAGTATTATTTTTTGTTAGCTAGCTTTGAAAAACTTTATACATCGATAGAAAATGCATTATCAAAATAGGTCTTTCACATTAGAAGCCTCATTCCTATACATAAGCAACAGAAAATTTTGGTGACTTCAGAAATGTTATTTCAAGTACACCAGCACTCATGTTAAAGCTTGGATAGTATTTAAATAGATTAAAAAAACATTCGAAAATCTAAAATTAAAATTGAATTTTAGTTCAAGAAGCCTTGTACACAATAAGTAAAGAAAAAGGTGGTCCTGGTATAAAAGCAAATGGTTTATATGAACAGATGAACAAATTCGACTTTTTTTTTGGATTAAAACTAGGTAATTTAGTATTTACAGATACAGAAAAGCTGTCACGTGCATTTCAAAGTTCTGATTGTTACTTACAAGATGTTTTCTGTGCTGCTGAGGCAATTATTTATCGCTTTCGACGTATTCAAGGTGAAAAATAAACTCTGTAAACGATCAAATGTATTTGTTGAAACTATCATTTCTTCTTTTTCAGATGATATTAATTTTGAATTATTTTATAATCAAGTAGTTAAAGATAGTGAAGGTTTAACAGAAAAACCTATTCTACCTCGACTTCGACGACCACCTGGACGATATGAATCAAATACAATTCTCGTAAATCATGCAAGTTGTGAAGATTTTTATCAGAAACAATATGTTGAAACATTAGAAATGATCATTAACATGCTTCAAACTCGATTCACACAAAAGAATTTTAAAATGTTATGTGAAGTTGAAAATTTTATTCTTAATATATCTAATAAGCCACCTGATCTTTCCATTCACTACATTAAAACAATTATAGATTTTTGTTATGATGATATTGATATTGAAAGATTAAAATCTGAAGCAGTTATGATTTCAGATTTTTTTAAAGTTGTTATTAACACAAATCAAATGAAAATAAAACGAATTACCAAAATTTCTACAGTTTGTGAAATTTTAAATATCTGTGAAATTGGGAAACAAATGTTTCGAGAATTTGATAAATTGATTCGACTTTATTTAACTATTCCAGTAACTACTGCAACTTCTGAAAGAGCATTTAGTGTATTAAATCGAGTGAAAAGTACACTTCGAAGTACTATGACTCAATCACGTCTTAATCATTTATTATTGGCACATATTTATAAAGAAAAACTTGATGAAATAGATCCAAATCAAATCATGTCAACATTTATATCATCAAATGAACAGAGACAGGCATTTTTTGGACTGATGCTTTAATTAAAAATAAGTTATTCTTATAGTTTAAAAAATTTTGTCTTCCAGCAAAGATTTTGAAATTTTGTTGATAGAGATCAGCAGGATCAAGAGAGCTGTTTTTTGATAACAACAGCACCAAACAGTCTGAAAATGGCATATCATATGGAGTCCCTCAGGGGCCCTTGGGCTCATAGGAGAAACTATTTGAGGATGAAAATCGTACTTGAACTGAGTCTCACCTAATTTTGAAACCTTCCGCCGCTCCTGATAGGGATATTCAATTTTTTGTTGTTGGGTAAAGTGACTTTTGCGCCACCCTGTAGAATATCATGGTCGGTACACAGCACCAGCAGCTAACGTTTCAAATTTATAAGCTTGATAGTGAGACCTTCACTTTGACTCCAACATGTTCCATTATCCTTAACTGACAATATAAGCGTCTCTGCTAGAGATGATAGTTTGTGTCACATGCACTTTTAAAATTGTTTTGCCGTGTTCGTGAAGAAAAAAATTCAAGTTTTGCATATCGAGCTTAATCTGTAGACAATCTTTTTTACAAAACCAAAACTTGTTAAGTTACTTCGTTGAAACTTTGACTTTCATAATCAGCTTTTTGATCACACTTCTTTGGAACACTACCCACGGTTTAACTCACGAGTTTAACTTTATTTTCTAAAAAGATCATTTATAATCTACGATTCAGTTGAGTTACATTTAGCTATTTACGATGAATCATCCAATCTATGGCAGAAGAATTCTTGATGAAAAATATCAAACAAAACATTTTATTATACAGAATCATTTCTGTCCTAAATTTTAAGGTCTTTCTGATAAATCTGTCATGGATTGCAATTCAACGTTTAGCGAATCTTAGTTGAGCATTCTCAACAACCTTTATAAAAAAATAATCCTTCTTTGCCGAAAAGGCTCTTTCTCTCGCGGAAAAATTAGAGACATAACGATACTAGTACAGTAACATGAAAGCGGGTCAATACAAGTTCCATATAGTCCCCATAGTTCAGTACTATATTGTCGCTGGAACATGCGTCATTATAAGGTTTTAAAGGATTCTTAAAGATTTCTAAAGATTTCCAAAGATTTCCAGAGATTTCAGGGGTTAAAATCTGCTTTTTTCCCCTTGATAGTATGTGACTAGTCCCAAATATGACAAAAAATAGTCATGACTAATTTTTTGTGTTAGTATTGAAAAGTCAATAGTCTCTTCTCTGGTTGCTAAACTAATATTGAATTCACTTTTCCATGATTATTTATTAGTAGACGAAAGCATGACGTTCCTCCAATTTGTTTTGGAATAGACAAATATCATTTTTGACGTTCTCACTAAATGCTGTAACTTGGACGCATTAGAACACCGTGATCCATCAAATGCAGATATTATTCAAGTTCAATCGTCGTCAACGACGAGCCAGATGGACGCGAAATGAAGATCGAAGTAATAGACAATCGAAATCAATAAAAAAAAGTATTTATCATTAATTCAAATAATCAAACTGATTTCAGCTGTTCTCGTTCCAATAATGATTGGCGTATTTACTCTCATAACGACGTTTCAAGAATCTAAAAAGGCTTTATTACAACAGGAAGCCGCAAAACGGCAGCAAGAAGTAGATTTTTTAAAAATGGAAGAACAAAAACAACGTGACGACATGAATAAGGAAGAGTTACGAATTCAAAATGCCTATGATACATTTATGAGAGATATCTTACCCATTGTTCTCAAAGACAATAGTAATCTCACGATGG